TATGGGGGAGAGTATTTGCTTCAAATACTCCATGTCATTGATAAGAATTTTAATGCATTATTTTATTTTTTCCCTTTATGCCTCATATATGTTTAACCTCATAGATTCAGGAAATGCATTGCATCCTGTCAAATTTCCCAAAACCATCATCACCAAAATTTGTTATCCTCTCTAGCTTCTTAGCCTCCTAATCCTCCTTGAAAGACATTTTAATATAAACTCAATACATTTTTTACAACTCAAGAAATTATCTATTTTCTTTTACCAGGGCATATGTAGATAATTTAAAGTTTATCAGACACAAAAGGTGTGTCATTTTGATTTTAAAAATCCACTCCAATGTCTCAAAAGCGTAAAAAGACAGTGACAATCAACTTCAAGATTGGTAAAATTATTCAATCAAAGCAAAATATCAAACATCATGATAGAAATTATTAAGTATTTACAGGTGAAATTTCTTATGCCAATTCTTTTTCAACTATCGAATGTCAAATTTAGATAAAAAAATATCTTGACAAGCTACTCATAAATGTCAAAAGAAGATGACAACGTAATACTAGAATCAGTATCATATTCCAAATCTTGATTGGAATTCACAATTTTGCACACAGATTCAATTTACAACTTAGGACTGATAATTCTATTCCAGATTTTGTGCAGACGACATCGTGGATATGAACATGGTTTATAAAATTCTATCAATTCTTGATTGACTTAGATCTAAGTGACAGTGGCAACAATTCAAGATAAAGATTTAAGGGAACAGTAGGACACAACCCCCCTACAGGTTCTAGACTACTTTTTGTTACGCCACAGATTACGTAACCCAAATGAACTTCTGTAATATTTAAACTGTCGAGAAGGTTATTGAAAACATGAATCAAATTATAGCTTTCTATAACCCAAATTCTGAAAAACATTTTTTTCTTAAAATTTTAAGGATCATTTAAAAATAAAGACAGCATTGAGCCACACCGAGTTATGACAATATTTTTAAATTCAAAATTATCATTATCATCATCATTTCTTGGGGTCTGTTCACACAAGGACAAATGAGGACTGTAAATATGTCTTAACAGTATCATCTGAAGACGATTATTACAAAGAAATTGTACTGGCTATATAACAACACTGGGTATTACTTTACCAAAAGACATATTAAGAAAAAGTGGATTACACAACTGTGGGAAAATACAGCCCCCAAACGTAAACAAAAGACATTAAAATGCTAATTATATGCAAAGGTTTAAACTGTACCAAATTACAATCCTAAGCAGATATTGTCTGCACACACCATAAGTGAGACAGAACTCTCAGTTGTCACAAACAGGAAGTTATATATAAGATAGAGATCGCTCTGTGACAGGTGCATGATCAGACTGATGATATTTTTCAGGAAAAACAACAAAATCCCTATAAAATCCTGACACTTATAGGGCAGATGATAATCAGGTTTATCAGAAACATCCACTACACCTATTTTTTTCTGTAAACTCAACACCTTTCCAACAAGAACTCGCCAGGTGTAACAGGAGATTAATATCATTTTTCACATAAACAAATATTAAATCTGCAATCAGCGTAAAAAAGTATAATAACTGTAGCAGATAAGAAAATTTATCATCTTGTCATGCCTGTGAACAACTAACTAAAAACTTTAGCACAAGGCAACATGAATGATATTTATTTATTTATTTATTTTGTTCAAATTAAAACACATCTAGAATCATCAACGCAGCTAACGTCCAGATCCATTCCACCCCCCCCCCCCCTCTCCCTTCCCAGGGGTATTTCCCTGTGACAGGCACACATACCTAACAGTGCTAATTTATCATTAACATCTGCTGTTTGTCACCAACAGAAGGGGTGTCACCAGTGTCACCACAGTTCCAATGACAAATTATCATGTTTAACACGACTGGTGACATCACACTAGAGCAGGGGTGTGGTTTCACACAGATAATTTTAAATTGGAAGTTGGTATTCCATGTCCGGCCCAAACTTTGGTCTAGTTCAAGTCCTGATAAATTCCAAGTAGTCAACTATAACAACTATCGCTCTCAAATACAAGTTATTTTTTTTGTTATAAAACAGATGCAATATTCCAATGAACTAGATTACCACAGAGTTAGCATGGGAGAACTTTGAAAGTGTACTAAAAGTTTAGCTCAATTTTCAGTCTAAAGTTATTGTGTGAAACCAGTCTCTATGCATCTGTACAGGAGTGATCTTGTAATGGTTACACAGTTAAACATGCTTATTTCTTGTCACATAAGTCAGAGGAAAAGATTTTACATAATTCTTCTGTGTTTCTGCAAACTTTACAATTGACATGCATGTATCTATGATCACAGATGAAAATGGCAAGGCAACAACCTAGGTTTCACATACAGAAATTCATATTTTAAAAATCATTACATTTTTATTAGTCCCTGATTTAGAATACAATTTTATCTATTCAACTGTTAGCTTAAGTGATATTTTTCAATTCAACCTCTTCCAATAAATGTATTTGAATATATATTTAAACACTGCTCTCTTTGTAAAGATGGATAACTAACAAAAACAAAACAGAACTACTGAATTTTCCTCCTAAAAGAGATGAAACATACTTTAAAAAAGACACAGTCAACCAAATAAAGATGGCACCAGGGCATGAAATAACAGAACGCTGCTGGTGGAGTGAACAAATTAAAAACTTCTACAATATCCATGCAACTGCTTTGTTGTACATAAAGCTGGATGCTGTTCTTTAAAAAGAAAAAAATACATATATACTCTACTCTTAGCATAAAGGAGCCATGCTCAGCATAACAAGGCCATTCTTCAACAATTACTGGATTAAAATTGTTGGATTAATCAATCTATCAGACGTGACTTTGTGAAATCTCTTACTATCCCCCCTCCCCCCAAAATAAAAATAATATTTATTAGATACACTAATGACATATGCAATAAACAATATCCACATCCAAAAACACATGGGCTGATGAAAGGGGTGATTGAACAAAACAACAAGGTACTTGTCAAGCTATATAATTTGTTATACATCACTTTTAGTATTTTTCCTTTTCATTTCTCTGAAAATCTATAAATCAAGATGCTGAAAAGCAAATGAAGAGAGTGCCATCGCAAATCTACAGCAAGCTTATGTAGATAGAGGGTAAAAGAGACAAATAAATAAAGAACACTGACCACAACATACAAACAAAACATGCACATAAGGAGGTGCAAGATCCAATAGCAAGCAAATCCACAAAATAAGAAACAAACATAGGGGCTGCATTTAGGTTCTTGTAGGTTTGATCTGAAGGCCTGTTTACACTAGATTCAAAAGGATCCAGTTCACACTAGAATGAATATAATGCAACAGTGAACTTCTGCAGATGTTTGTTTTTAAAGATTCACATGTAGGATTGAACCAGGTGAACGCTCTCAGTCCATTGCTGTTATCATGCTATGGAGTTAGGTTACACATGTTAAACTGATAAAAATGTCCAGAGAGCGATCAACTGGGTTTGTTCCTGTCTTCACATGTGTAAACGGCCTTGAGGAGTCAAACATTGTGGACCTCACAACGAGTAATACATAATATACATGTTTTATCACTGAGGTTGTTTACTTAATACTATTTCTTTATTTAAGGTCTCTCTCTAATTTCTATGGGAAAGAGATTCCTAGTAACTGCATATATAATAAAACTCAACAGAACTGTACTTGGTCATTATCTTTTTTTTTTTTTTTTGCGCAGTTAACTCCAGTCACCTTAATAACCAATGACTTGCATCAATTATTTTGACAAAGCCAAAGACAAAAACCTTGAAATTTCATAAAAATATTTTCAAAAAGTTTGCCACAAGCCAAAAACAAAAAACAATTTGTTAAAAAAATCAAAACCCAAAATGTGAATCAAACACAGAAAACATGATCCCAATTCACCCTGAGCATCAGAAGATACTTAAAAAACCCACTCAAGGTAAACAGGTGCTTGAAGAATCCTCTGACACTCAGGGTACCCCAGCACTGTCCAGGTATACTATGTATGTACTAGTTGTGAGAGTCAGGTTCCCCGTATTATCCTCTACCTACCCACTGCTTGTCCTGGGAGGCTGGTTGTTCATTGTAGTCCATGTGATACTACAACATAGAATGTTATATCACACTGCTAATGTCTATATGTATTGATATTGTTATAATATAAGACCACATTCAGAACAAGCTGATCTGCGTACTAACAGATCCACGGACTAAATATGGCCAACCGACTTAAAAGCTATGCAGCTTATCCCCTGATAAACTCACTGTCTCCAAACACACTGTCGCTGCAGTGGCCTTACAATTAAATCTCGGAGCTGAGATTTAATACTTTTAATGATGCGTGTGGGGGCAGGTAGACCATCAGGGAATTAAGCAACTTGCTTTTAAGGGGGGTCGGCCATATTTAGTCGGCAGATCATTTAGTCTGCGGATCATCTGTTCCGAATGCACTCTAAAAATATAATCATCACACATCATGCATTAGATCTCCCTCCACACACATTGCTGATGTGACACTCAGAAATACTGCCTGGGTCTGAGCTCCAGTTATCAAAATAAGTAAATTAATATGTTGATTTTAACTTTCAGACTGAGAATTGTACTGCATATCTTGGTTTAAAATCTTCTCTAAGTGGACTTTAACTCAAGATAATAGTTACTACTGTTAATAGTCAATTACTTTGCACAATGAGGTTAGCTGGCCTATTTTTCCCTTTTTTTTAAAGACAAAGGGTCCAAAGTTAATAATAATAATAATAATAATAATAATAATAATAATAATAATAATAATAAATATTTTTGTAAAATGTCCTCTAGTGTGTTCATTCAAGAGGCTAATAACCTCAACTGTGCCTAATTACAGCAATTGACAATTCAAGTTTCCTTTTATGATGTTTATCAGCATGGTGAGCCTCTTCCTCCACAGTGAGTAATTAGTCACACTCCCCTGAATGTGCATTCAGACCCTGCAGATTTCACGCCTGTTGCAAGTGAAAGTGAGCTATTTAAAAGGTACACAATGAGCATAAGACCTTTTACAGCAAAAATTTAATTTCTTCCTTAGTTAGCAAGGTATACACTATCCAAAACAGTTCACCAAATTATGATCCATTATTGAGTCACTGACATCATGAAGATATGGACTTGTGAATCTCATATTTTGGCTGTAATAAATATAATTAATATATTACAAAATGGTTTTTAGGCTTTAAATACTTACAATGATTTTGTACAGGGTATACCATGGTTATAGAAAGAAAACTGATGAGAATATACTGTCAATTTGCTATATAAAGGTCAAACACAATGTGTCCCTTTCAAATGCTGGTTAAGTAAATTGTGATGTGTTTTAGATTCAGACCAGTTCAGGTTTCATTGTCTGTCTATGGTTGTTCTATGTTAATCATCTACATTGTCATAACTGATAGAAGATTAATTGAGAAATATGAAATAATGTTACTATAATTACTTCGAGATGCCAAAAGAAAAAGTTGCCATAAAATTCGATTTTCTAGATTGCATATGTGCAGTTAATTTGTTTTTACAAATATGTGATAATGTTAATTTTTCAGGTTATGCCAAAAAAGCAAAAGTTGTTATAAAACATGACTTGCAAGAAGGGAAAAATGCGTGAACTTTAAATTTCTTTAAATGACGGGAACTACTGTTAACCATATGATCTAGTACAAGTGATCATCCAAAAACAATGGGAATTTAGATCATTCAAAAACAATCTGCAGAATGTAAAAATGGTATTTATGGTACTGTAATGTCCTGCACCTTATGGTCCAAATCAGAATTCAATTTTGTTGCTCGACTGGTTTATTAACCCTACCCCCCCACCCAACCCCCAAAACAAATTTAAAGAAAAATTGTGTAACTGTCATTAAAAACCCCTTTTAAAAACTGTCAGTATTGACAACTTCACTGATGCAAACCTCATACCATTACATCCATCACCTCATGCAAACATATATGACAGACAAACATACACCAAAAAACCTCATCAAAATGGACTTATTAAACACATCGTAACACCCATTCCCAACTCCTCAATTTCTCGTGCACATGTGTGAACGCATTTGCAAACATGTAAAATCATGTGTTTCAGCATACGAGGCCACCTTCATGCCTTCACAACAAAGAAGTGTATCATATAAATCCTGAATCCACTCACCCATTGTCTGTTTAACATAGCCTCCCTCTGCTCCGCCTCTCTCTCCTTCTGCTCCTCGAAACTCTTCTGTCTCATCTCGCGGCGCAGCTGGACGCGCTCGCTGACTTTGGTGGTAGCTATCCCCTCCAGCCGTTTCTCAAACTCCTGCTTGAACTGCAGCTGTTTCTGTTCGTAAATCTGTTTTTGTTCCTCTATTTGTTTCTCTATCAGTTCATTGAATGTGGGTCGTTTGGTCCGCTGTTGAGCATAAGACATTTTGAAGGCGTTGCCGACTAATGTGTTGAGATCTTCAGCCTGAAGTCGGTAATGAGTGGATATCAGTGAATTGTGTAACTTACAGTAAGTGGGATTTTTTTGTATAAGTGTGAACATGGGTACGTGTTTTTGTTATGTTGGATGACAAATGATGTGCACATGCACTTCTGTGTACACACATATAAGCAACCAAGTCTGTGAGTGTACACACAAGGGTTATTGAGCTGTATATATATATAAGCATGCATTACATTTACCACAAAAAACAAATGACAACCCACGTCCAAAATTCACCAAACTCATCACAATCACACACAAACACTACACAGTCTCACCTCCTCTGGGGTGGCCGTTAAAAAGGCATGGCAGTACTGCGTGCTAATTTGGCCCCGTGGTTCCCGTGCAAGAAACGAGAACTGTCTGCACTCGGGATCACATGTGGCATAGGAGATTCTCTTCAAGGCATGGGCCATGTACACTGTCTGTAATAGATATCAAAGATTCATATTAAACCAATAATAAAACACCAAACTGTAACCATCTTGACAGATTGTCTGTTACACGCAGCATAAATTCTCTAAAAACAAACAAGACAAAAACTGAAACACACAATATACGTTGTTTGTGATATACAAATGACAGACATAATTTTATTTTGTGTCTTTCCAATAAATAAAGAGTTATTCCTGGCAAAATGAGAGAGAGAGCAAGAGATAGAGAGAGAGGAAGAGAGAATTCCTAGAGGCACAAGTAGGTCCACAGAGGAGAATCCAAATAATGGCAACCTGCTAAGTAGTCTAGCTAGCAGTAAAAAGGGAGAGTCCAACTTCAGCTGTTGTTCATGTATGTGATGTCAATGCAAGAAGGTCAGGTAAAGAAAAGTCACCTGGGGGAAATTCTAATGAGGTCACTAAATTTAAAGCCAAGAGCACTTCATAAAAGTTCTTAAGCCAAAAGGACATATGTATAAAAACTTAACAATAGGTTGTATTATAACCTAAATATTTCTTTAATAACTTTACTCAACTGCTGCAGAATTACTTAGGCTAAAACAGACCCATTTTTCATTATAAATCAGGACCAAAGTTAGGGGGACAGAAAGAGCCATCTTTCTAGTTTGACCCAAGTTCTATGCAATTTGTCAAGTCGGGTCAGGTAAGTGGATACAGAGGTTCACTTTTTCAGAAAAAGACCCCTCCCCTCTCTGAAATTACTGGATACAGGCATGTATTGTGGAGTCCAACTTAATCAAGTCAACTGCTTCAAAATTCCCCTTGTTTGCAGTACTTATCAAATGTTTTGGTCATTACATTAAGAACAACTTTTGCCTCGGGATCTTTTCTGGCAGGTCTTGTTGGCTGGCACTGGAGACAGTTTTATTTCTGTTCCCTGTAACATCCTTCACTCAAAATGGAACATCAGGTTTGTGATAAGCACCCTGTAACATCCTTCACTCAAAATGGAACATCAGGTTTGTGATAACCAAGAAAGTTTCCTGACACTTGAAATGTCTCCAATGTTATTTTTACACCATGACTAATGCAGAAGACATGCCTGGACAAGAAAAGAAGAGGCGTTGAAGTTTGCCAAAATTCTGAAGAAACTTGCCACTCTGTAACCTAGTATGACATAGTAATAAGAGCCTTAAAATGTTCATTTTTTATGTGGATGCACATAAGGACTTACTTCTCTCTCTTTTTTCTCACTCATCATCATCAAAAATTTGCTACATTTTCTCTCACTCTATCTTCCCTGCCTTCCACCTCTCTCTCTCTCACCTGTTTATCTGAGCTGCAGACTTTAATACCACTCAGGGATATCATAATAACCACTGGTTTACTTCTACCCACAGTCTGAAATAATGACATATTTGACAAATATGTAAATAAATATTTATATGAATCAATCAAATTATGATGATCAAATCAAAGTTTGACAAGAATGATGTTTAAGTGAATGTTTATCTTTTCTTTAATCACACATTTTTTTCAAAGAATGAAACTGAAATTGTGTACTAGTAAATTCTCTTAATGATGTATTTGTGCATGTTATGATTTTTAAAAATGCCACTAGATGGTGCTAAGGAGGTTCCAGGTTCACTGTAATGTTATAAATTCTGAATATCAATCATGGGACCAAACTCCTTATTGACAAAGATTTGAGGGACTGCCTCTGACCCCATAAAATTAAATTACAAGATTCTTTGGAAAAATCACATCCAAGTATTCATAAATAGTTTCACATCACTACTTTAGAATGGAATATGAGGAATTAAGCTGTGTCAAAAGATGACTAAAATGGAAATATTTTGTGTCCATTTCTGAATGGAGTCAGGCAATATGAGCATAAATCATTCATCCTAAACAATGGACATATAAAAAAACATCTAATTTAGTTATTACTGCATCCATTATGGTCACTCAGTTGTTCCTTTTACTAGTAAGAACTGAAATCTAACTGCCTGTTGAATTGATGGGTGACTTGTAATAACAATACTCCCCATACATGAAAATCAACTGAGTCATTCAATAAGAAAAGAAAATTGACAAAAGACAAATTATTGACTAAACAGGCTAAACAGGGGGTCTTCATCACACTCATGTTCAGAGGTATGAACTTGAAAATTATTTAATTGAAAGATGTCCACTGAGTTCATATCATTACAGAAAAAAAAGACAAGAAATATACCAATATATTCTTACTCTAACTTTTTCCAGCTGTTTTCTCACATATTCTGCTCTGGAAGCCTGGTCTTCCCCAACCACAGAAAATGAGCCTATGTACTGGAAAGAGAAATGTTATAATTTCATCATATAAACTTCCAAAAATTATTAATTTGCAGAAGTATGAATGAAACAAAGACTGAAATAATGTTTTTTTCAACAGATACATACCTGCATTTTGTGAAGTTATATGATGCAAATAAAATAAATTATTGCTCTAGTAAATTTTATTATTTCTGGTTTTCAACCAAGAGTGTTGAAAAAATCCACAAATACTAGCTAAATGAACTCCCAGTGCATCTCGATTACAAAATAATCAAAGGCCATGAGCAAACACATCTACAATTAAAAATGACTTTATAAAAGATACAATGCTTTCCTATTCATATCCCCCTAACTCCTATCTTTTCTGCCATGTGCTATATTGAAAATCAAAGTTGGTAAACCTAGAAATAAAATAACGCCAAACCACAAACAAAAGGAATTATCAAAACAACTGCCTTTTTCATAAAGATAACACACAAGGCTGAATATCACATCAATTGAAGGTTTCCACAAATGTCAACGCAGAACAAATATGACTCAGACTGGAAAAACAACTTAATGATTTTCACTATTGATATTCATTTAAACACTTTCAATAAAACTAACAAACTGAGCCGGCTATATCTATAGCCAATGTTTAGTCGATGATTGTGTTCATTCTTCCCTGCATGTAATCATATCTTTGCTGAATGCTAATGAAAAGACACCGCCCACCTGTGGGTAGCTTATAGACTGAAAGGCACAGAGAAAAAGGTCACTTATTTCTGTACAGAGGACTGTTTTAATTGGGATTCGGGGGGTGACAGGCAGGAATGGCATTGAGTACTACCTGCAGAATGACAGAAAATTTTGAAATGATGTTCAAACTAAAATGCATTGCCAAACTGGAGCATAAGAAAATGTGGAAAGTAAAAAAAAATGTACTTGCTTTTTGAATTTATGAGGATGCATGCCCTAGCTGGTGTGTGTGTGTGTGTGTGTGTGTGTGCGCGTGTGCGTGCGTGTGTGCATTCGTGTTGAAGAGAAGGGGGGAATAGGGGGATGGCACTTTTCTTATTTGTCCAATTCAGTAGCACTATTTCACGAAATTCACATTTGCATTGTAATTATCCTTTCTTTTTTGTTGGGATTAAATACTTTTAGAAGTTAACATTCATGACTGTTATATGGATTTATTTGATATATAGGTATAGTATAAGTTTGAGTTGGCAGCAGTTACTTTGCAAGTGAGAAGTTGGCCTTAAAAACTTACTTGTAGCATTTAATTTTTAACAAATCTAAACAAATTTTATAGACCCTTGAAGTAAATAAAGATCAAAATAAATATTATTAATATACTGTTATTCAATCAATCAACAGAATATGTCTAAGAACATTCTACTGCTATTATTAGTAAAATAAGTTTATATATTGCCCAAAGGCGTACAAGATGGACTAGTACTTTGAAAAGGCACCCTATGTTACTACCTCAGTCATCGGTCACATATACCGAAAAAGATTACTCTAACCAATAAATATGACCAGAGAGCAAAATACTGAATTGTATTCTTCGAAGGTCTATATACATACCTGCACACTTGGCAAAATTGTTATTTTCAAAATTTTAAATAAAAAATTGTGAAAGCTGTTATCTCTTGCAAAGGCTAACTTTCCATGGAAATCAACAATGTCAACGTCAACAAACTTTACTGCTTAACACTTATTTTCTCTTTCAACTGAATCTTTTTGGACCTAATTAACTATTTCTCCAACCCCTACCTTCTCCTTTTACTTGGTCTAACTCCGCAAGTAAAACATTTGTTTGGTGACATGATATGTCATATCTATAAAAGTTTATCTCACACAAGTATAACTAAGAATGGACAAAGCATGTTCATTGATCAATGAAAATGTACACTGAAGTAGGCTACCACGTTGTTAAAATATTTACCTCTTTAAATATCACAGTAAGTTTTTAAAACAATGTTGCATTTCTTTGTGCAGATATAGACGACTTTATTTGCAGGGCCTTTAATGTCTACAACGGAATGGTTATGTATTTATCGGTCATAATGTCATTCAACAAGTAGAAACTTGTTGGTGACTAATGTTGATGTTGAAACTTTTGTTTTGAAATCACAGTAGTCAGTAGTTGTCCCAAAGTATACACACCTGTGCGTCTCTGTAAGAAGTATGGAGAACATCCTCTCCCGGCTGTGGAATACTCTTTGTGACTGGTTGAAATCCATGGCCATCCGGAAGTTCATCAGGTTGAAAACCAGCGTTTGTATTTTTTGTGTTTTGTTGGCCCGATGAACTTGGACCACCGACGTTGGACGACCTGTCTCCGGATAAACGTTTCCTCTCCATGTATTTACCCCTCTTTTCCATCAGTTCTTTCCAGTCCTCTTCTTCTATAGCTTTCTTCGATTTCATCAAATACATTATGACTTATTTCACGATTTTATTAAAGATGATTCAGGGGAAATTAAAAGACATTCCACCCCCGTCTCCAGCGTTGCTTTTGCACGACGCCATCTTGTGTCCATTTCAGTTCACGTCAACTTCCGGGTGACCTAATAACCTCGAGGCCACGTGCTGATGTAAACAAACACAAGAGGTACAGGTACCTGGTACAGTAGAGTTCCCGTCCCATAGCTGTTAATCGGCCAGACAGCTATAAACTTACAACCGAAATTTTAGTTTCTAGCGATGGAGAGAGTAGAAAACTTCTGCAGTTCGATTAACAACTTCAGGCCCGTAACCAGCAATTTCAAAAGGGGGTTCTTTCTTTGAAAAAGTGGACCATTTCCCATAAAAAAAAAACTTCATTTACCTAGATCAAATTTTACCCAAAGTGGACCTTTTCCTAGCAAAAAGGGCGGTTCTTTCGACCCCCCCCCCCGAACCCCCCACCCCCCTGGCTACGGGCCTGAACTTAGTTCAAACTGCAGTCAAAATAAATAAAATAAAATAAAATGAAATGAAATACTGTAATATACTAATAATATATATATATATAATGACCTCGTATATTACTATATGATCTTATAATCTATAAGACCATTGTTAATTCTATGATAAGTTGTACATGTTGCTGTAGTCTTGTATAAATAAATGAAAGGGATAACAACTGTTCGTATGAGATTCAGTTAAGATACCACAATGAATACATGTACATTGTAAACAACACATGATAATATATTAAATTCCATTTCTCCACCAAAACTGCAGTTCTGAATTCTGAAATCTCTGCTTGCCATCTGACAATGTAAAGATTATTACAGTTTAAAAAATGGACTATCTTTGAATGTCAATTCACTAAAAAAAACTAGAAAAAAAAACATGGAAATGGTACCATTTTTTGGGACCAATGAACTACAGACCAATGAACTACAGACTATCGAAAGGGCCCCAATTTTAATAATTGATCCAGGACTTCAACAGGGTCGTAGCCTCCGGGGGGCAGGGGGGGCAGCTGCCCCCCCTGGGATTTGAGGTGCAAAAAAATAATCACAATTTCTGACTTCTGATTGAGCAATAAATAACAGTTAAAATGCACCAGAATGCAGTATTATACATACAGTTTTTAAAATTTTTCCACATGGTGGGAGAGGGAGACCCCCACCCACACCCCCCCCCCTTGGTGGCTTCACCCCCTCGTGTCCGCTTACTGCCCCCCCCTGGCAGTTTGCTCAGGCTACGGCCCTGTTCAACCATTCCTAGCTAGCTACCTTCAACATACCAGTACATGTATCATACATGTATGCTACTATGAAATGCAGTGCAAATTTGAGGTAAAAGAATACGTACAGAATAGCAATTATAGATATAATCTGATCATGCTGTTTGTAAATAAATAAATATTAAATAAATGAATAAACATTTTAATCAATCAATGCCACCTGGCAAATTTAAATTGAAACAAAATATGATAATCAGTTATTTGGACAGGCATATTAATGTGCATCAAGCTTTTTTTTCACTTTTT